TTTTAGATATTCAAGAGAAAATTTTAACTTTTTCAATGTTTAGCTTATGATATCTCGATAACTGTTTGTCGAAGGGAAAAGTAGTATGGGACTTTTTTACTTGATTTGGTCTCAGGAATATGCTGTTGCAATAGTGCTTCAATTATTGAAAATTTTTGTGTATGTAAATTTTATGTATGTTACAATACACAGAAAGTTTCAATAATTGGAACGCTATTGCAACGGCATATTTCTGAGACCAATCAAGTAAAAAAGTCCTGTACTACTTTTCCCTCCAACAAACAGTTGTCGAGATATCATAAGCTAAACATTAAAAAAGTTAAAATTTTTTCTTGCTGTTTCAGACAAAAGTTATTCATATTAATTAGTAGAATGAGATAGTATAATAAACAATAGGGAGTTTCATTTAAAAAATTGAAGGTAACTTCACGTGACTTTCAAGCAACTCGTCAAGGTCAAACTAATGGCACAATCTTATGTCCCCCTTCAAACCAAACAACTTTTGTCTGAAACGTTTTTCTCTGCAATCAAAAATAAAAAGTTATTGGAGGGAGTGTTATTAAGTTGGGACACCCTGTATATATACAATACTTCCATTTTTAATTAATTTCAGAAAAACTATAGAAATTCAGTCAAAAGGAAAAATTTGTATAAAAATAAATTTATGTATGCAAAATTTCTTTCTTTGATAATGATATTAAGTTATATGTAATTATCATTGCAAAATGATAGTACCAATGTAATAACAGCATCTAATTTCATACCATTATTTCAGACGTAAAGTATTATGAGTCTATGTTTATGTAAACTCTTTTATTTTACTTGAATTTTAGTTTTGGAACATGATAAAAAATGTTGAAATCACTAGATACCTTATGAAAATCCTATTTCTTTTTAATAGATACAATAAAAAGATTGTCTTTCAACAAGGTAATAGAAAATTTGACTAGTGAGAAAGCAACGCAAGAAAAATGGAGTAGAAAGTGAAAATAAAAAAATCTGATAGTATCAATTAAAAATTTTTTATAATATACTAATAAAGTATAAAAAATTCACATAAACTTGAAATTGAAATTCGGAAAACATGGTTGCTACAACTAAAAGCTTTTTATGTATAACTTTTAAGCATAATTGTTTATTTCGAAAAAAATTTATTTTGTGTTGAACAAAATATTTGGAAATAAAAAGGTAGCTGGTAATCTCGGGATACTGCATACATAACTTCTAAATTGTCATTATAACCATTGATCATGTTTGATAATATTGTGTTATGATATTTAGATAGTCTACCTTTTGGAAGTTAAAATAGATGTGTCATCACAATCTGAAACACAAGGCATATCAATAAAACAAGTATGTTTTCTTGTAAGAGAACTTTTGGCAATATTTGAAAATGAACCCTCTGAGTGTTTCGTGAACGATTTAATACAATTATTACCAAAAATCTGTTCAAAATTGGATGATGTTGTTAGTAGATTAAGACAAGATGACAATTATAATTTCCGACAAGGTGCAAGATTATTATTGCGTCTACTCACTAGTATTTTTAATTGGAAAGGATTTTCAAGTGTAACATACAATGCATTGCTACGCGGTATAGTATTTTTATTAGCTAATTATAAGAATTGGTATTTTTAATATCTAATATGCATATTACTTACATTCTATTCATCTTTTTAGAGGGATTGCGTACTTTGGCTAAACTGGTCAGTGAAGAAAATGCTACACTGAAGTCTTGTAAGGAACTTGTTACAGAATCATATAAGTATTTTGAATCGTTGTCAGATATTGCTACAGAAATAACATTAGCCACTGCTCTTATCAACGTATGTCAATCCATAATGAAACATTCCGAAACTTATGTCCAAGAGTATAAGGGTAAACATGGTATGTAAGTAATATAAACACTTATTAAAAATTTTATAAATTCTTCATTAACTTGTTGATTTTAGCAAAATTAGCATACAGCTTTCTTTGCCTGGAATGGCCTGAGGATAAACATATTGGTTCTCAATATAATTTATCTGTTATTCAATTATTAAATAATTGGATAGACAATGAACCATCACCATTAGATACAGTAACATCAATTTTGGAATGGTTACCAGATGAAGTTCGCAATTTTGAAAATATTGAAGATTCCTTGACCAGAATGCCTTCTGTAAAAAGAAATATTTTTCACTTATTATATAAAAAATTATTCGTCGGTTTAATTAATGGCATTAATGTGTCATTGTTAGCTGTTAACTCGTAAGTATTATTTTCTTTTTGTTCTTGTGAAAGTAGAGATCAAATTGTTTTAGATAACATTCACTGAATTTTCCATTAATATACATTGAAGTTTTTATGAAAGATTTATTACGAATTTATTGCTTAAATTTTTTTCTAGAGATCCAAAGAGAATAAAGATATGGCACAACATTACATTAAATGTTCAAAAACTTGTACAAATTTGTAAAATGTTGCAAAAAAAAACTATCATACAAACATTTTTGCGATACATGCCACTATTAATAAAACAATTTCTAAATACTGGTATGCCAATACTTGAGCACAATCTGAAGTATCAAACAGACGATGTAACTAGTATTCTGAAAATGATGCAAAGTAAGGAATAATTATTTTTATTGACAAATCATGTAGAATGTCTACAAACTATAATCTTTATTTTAATAACATCAAGAATTATTTGACGCCAGTACATGACTAACAATAATTAAACCTTTAATCGACCATAGCTGACAATGTGTTTTTAACACAGAAAATTTATTATGAAAAATATTACCTCAGTCAGGGTTTGAACCTGGATTTCCCTAAACTCTAGGCGGGCGTCTCACCAATTCCACCACCGAGACATATGATAATATTTGTTGCAATAACAGTATAGATTGATGTCTACGCGTATATTTTCGACTTTTGATGGTTTAAACTCTGACTCAGGTAATATTTTCCGCAATAAATTTTCTGTGTTAAAAACACATCGCCAGTTATGGTCGATTAAAAGCTTTATTTTAATGATTAATTATCTGACAAATTGAAAATAAATATTTTCTTAATAAAAATGTCATAATATTTAGTATTGATTCAATTGAATTTTATTTTGTTTTTGAGAGTAGTAGATACATTTTGTTGAGTTAAGCCCGCTGCAGACGATGCTATTTTTCCTGCTGGATTGCTTGCAATTTACTAAATTACTAGGAATCCTGAGTGCTGAATGGTGCAACGATAGTAATTTATTAGATTGCAAGCAATCCAGCAGGAAAAATAGCATCGTCTGCAGCGGGCTTTAGCTGTAATCTGTTATTGCGTTCGCAAAAGTCTTTTTTTCAGTTATTTTTTAACTATTTGTATACATATACGTATACATGTGTATACATACACAGGTGTTTCAAATTTAAATGTGAAAACTTTAGGAGCATAGGGATTTGATAAAGTAAGAAAAAGGTCTTTTATATATAGAAATTTGCTCGGTTTGCTTTATTTTGGAAACAAATCACAAAAACAAATATATATCTAAGCACTTATTTATTACTTCTTTATTTATGTTTATTTATTTGCATTATCATTTCCTTAATAAAAGGTATTGTTCAAAACATTGACTTTTTTCTAACAATACAAGCATTGCATAGCTAGCACTGGCAATTTATGTTGTAGCCAGACACTGTTTTCATCGTATTTAGTGTACTGTAATTATGATTCATCCTCTCAGCTGTTCTCTTGAATCAATATCTAACAAGAAATATACTTTTCTTTGAGTACTTAAATCATAAGAGAAATACAAGAATGTAAATATAAACAATTCAGCGGCGTTGTATTTTTGTAATTTTCTTTCTTTTGTCTTACAATTAGTTTATGGATTCCCTCTATGCTTCCAACGTTTTGACATTATATTTGGGACACCCTTTATGCATGTACACGTGCTTGCACACAATTGACATAAAATAACATAAAATAGATATTTTTTTCTAGTTTATTCATTATAGATATCATGTTTAGGTGGTACAAGATACTTACATGCCATATGTTGCGACTGCACAGAGAAAAAGAATTTGCCACTGTTTAAACATGTACCTGCAGCAAAATCTATATCAGAGAAATTAATTTATAGTGTCAAAGGAATGTTGGTCCTTAATGGTAGTGAAGCAGCATTTTGGATGGGAAATCTTGTCAATAAGAACTTAGATGGTCATGAAATTCTTTCACAGGTTTTTGTTATTTTAAATTTATTTTGACTGAAAGAAACTAAGCTTGATTAAGTAAAGTTTTATTCATTACTTTTCTAGACATCATCAGATGAAACACCTTTACTAGACGTGGATAAAAATTTGGAAGAATTAGCAAATGCAACATCTGAAATTTTGGATTCTGATTTAGATGAAAATCCAATAGAAGAAACAGATGATGAAAATGACGACATTGTTGATTTGTAGTTGTATAATGGGGATGAGAAAAAGTATTCTGCACTCACAGAAATAATATTACATTAATACATTATGCTATAATATTATATCAAAAATTTGTTGACAATTTAACAGTGATAAAATATTATTTCTATAATTTTTACTAAAAATTTAATACTGATAAGATGGTTAAATTAAGGTTTAAACTTAGTGACAAATTAGAGTTAAATTTAGTGATAAAACAGATAATTCATATATAGAACTTTATAAATTTGACGGTTTTGGTTATTTTTTTGTTTGCTGCAATAAATTACAATTTATTGGTGTACTTGTAATGACTTGTAATGTTTATAAAACAATAATATGGTTATACAAGATAATTATGAGATAATAAATGTGTTCAAACACGCAATAGAATTATTAATTTTATGTTATAAAAATCTAGAGTATTCTAATAATATCAAACTATAATATGAATATAATTGAAATAATTCAAAATTTTTTAGTAAAAACATAACACGAAACATAAGATATCAAAACAAAAAGATATTTAACACGACTAGATGCTGCCAGAGTTTAATACATCTTATGATAACATTAGCTTGATTTAATATAAATTTTAATAATTTGATTTTACATTTAAGTTCAGTACTTTCATTATTGTCTTTTCAAGAACCACACACTTAACAATTATATTTTTAAATTTAAATAATATAACATCTCGTAAATGTATTTGTATAAAACAAAATTGCATGAAAACTGAATTTTAATATTATGATAATATAATTATGATTGTTATATGCGTTCCAGTAATGCCAATTTTTTTGTGTAAAATACCTTATTAGTTTTATAATATCTTTCGGTTATTTATTTTTCTGTCAAGTCATTTATATCCCTTTCGTCTAAAACATTTTTTTTATTTGCCTGATATTTGTTGAGATATTCAAGAAAAATTTCATAATCTTAATATTTAATTTACAATATCTCGACAACTATTTGTCAAAGGGAAAGTGAACTTTTTCCTCTGCCGCTGTTTCTTGAAAAACCTGCCAAGGTTATTAAGTTAACAAAAGTTTAGGCACTATTGTAATGGCATATTTTTGAGACCAAGTAAAGTCATAAAGTCCTCTTTTTCTTCTGACATAGTTATCGAGATATTATAAGTTAAATATAAAAATAGTTATCGAGATATTATAAGTTAAATATTTGGAAAAGTTATGAAGTTTTCTTTGACTATCTCAAAAAATATTAGGCAAATAAAAAATAATTCAGACAAAGTTCAAATTAATAAATATAAAAAGATGATATAATAAAAGGTCACGGTTTCTCCATTAAAAAATTTCAAGGAGATTTTTATATGACCTTGAATTTAATCTTACATCTTGTATCGAAAATTTTTCACAAATATATGTTATTTATAAGATGTTTAAGTGGCACAAATGGTTTGAGCCACTTCAACAAATGGTTGATCACATCCTGTGTAACTTAGGTTTAAAATAATTGATATTAACAATAATTTATATATCTGAAAGCTATTAAGAAATAGCTATATTTTTCTAACTAATTTACACAGAAAGGTTAAAACGCAGAGGTCTATTTTATTTTTAATTTTTATTAATAATGCATGTGAAACTTTGACCAATGCTAATAAGTGAATCTGACAAGTAAATAGAGTATGTCTTCTTTGGTCAAACTGGATCTTTGGAACTAATAGTTTTGTGTAAATTTATATACTTTTTCGTAAATCAAATTATGTGTATTTGTTCATCTTATAACTAGTTCAAATTTTCCGATATAACTTTTATAATAAGTAGAATAATGTTTAATAGAGAATAAATGTTAATACTCGTATCTAACAGTCATGATGTACAACAGTTTATATAATCTTAAATTAACAGTTTAAATAATCTTACGTTATACTTAAATTTTTAAACAAGTGTTATTACGTGACTTAAGTTATTACATGACCATACATGACTTATTGTAAAAACTACATAATTATTTGATTAATCAGATAAGCATTGATTTCGCTGTTCATCAATTCATTATGTTCGATATTTCATTCCAAGTTTTATTTTGTAATTTTATTATAATAAGTTTACAGCTTAAGCCAACGGCACACGATACTATTTTTCCTACTGGATTGCTTACGAGAGCCAATCAGGACACAGTTTTCGATCAGATGATTTAAGACTAAATCCTAATTGGCTCTCGTAAGCAATCCAGTAAGAGAAATAGTATTGTGTGCCGTTGGCTTTACTTAGGCCGGTATTCATAGTCCGTTCTTATATTGTTGCTCTTACCACGTGCTCTCTCTCTCATATTTTTGTTAGCTGTCGAACTGCATAGTCTACAATACATTTCGCTCGTTGACGAAGATTTTATTATATTTATACCTTGGAGGTTTGTACACTTAAATATAATAATTAAAACAAAGTAAATATTTATTTCTAAATTAAATCATATTAAAAGAAAGTATTAAAAGGGTATACTAAATCTTTTCATTCAGATGTTGAACAGTGCTCCTCATGAGTCACGCTACTTTTCCATTGTGTGTGAAAAGGTTATTTGTATTATAAATAGATGTATTAATCACAGTCGTATCTATTTTTTCAAATAAAAAATGTTTAAAGTTGACCAATCAATTAGTTAAAATTAGCGTGCTCACAATCAATTGTAACTTATTAAGTAATAGAAAAAATGTAGTTACATCTCTGAGAGTAAAATCATGTATGTATAATCTTCTACAATAAAATTCTAAATCAGATCTTGAAAACATTTTCATGACTGTTCAAAGCGTACAAATTTTGAACCATTTTATTGGTTTAAACATTTCTTATATGTAATTAAGAGTTAAAACACCAGTACATTGATGTTAGGATTTTCACTTCAAATTGATCTCATGAATCTACTATCTTTTATATTTTTTAAATGTATTTAACATGTATAATTCTATTCAATCAAGGCAAAGTTGGACAAAACGGGGTATTTTGGATTTGATGGCTTGTAATGAGTCATCTAACTATAATAAATCATTAAAGTTAAATTTTTTTACCTGAATTATTTTCAGTTTTTATTCATTTATCTAATCTACAATAATCATACCCATACAGCACAGCAAGGTTTCAGCAACATTTTAGCAATAATTCATCGCAAGATTGCAACATTGCCTAAACGCTGTTAAATGTTGCTGCAACACTGCTGCAATCTTGCAGAATAATAGTGAATCCATTCTTCGTTGGAAGCTGATTTTGCGTACACAGCTCAAAACAAACAGGTTATCTGAATGTGTTAGACAGTTTGCTGCTTTGTTTCATCTAACTAATACACATGTTTGAGGAAACAAACATGGTATTTATTAACTAAAATTATTTCTTTAGAAATAAAAATGACTCATGATTTAGTAGAAAAATTAATGTAATTTAAGGTGTCCTAGTTATAATCTTCGTGTTGTTTGGCACAATAAATCGCATAAATCTGTTAATGCTGATTTCAGGCAAAAAAATATTTACTGAGATGGATACACACATGTGATTTTATTGTCACTGGATCGCATAAACCTTTGCATGTGAATAATGAGTTCTAAAAGCTTAAATGCCCTGTTTTATCTAACTTTCCCCTAATTTATACATTTTTTGTAATTATACATATGTAACTATTCATATTCATTAATATCTTAAGTAAGCAGAACTAATTTTAGTACCTTATAAAAATTACTCTTTCAAACTAATATCGATACAATATAATAGACGTTAATATACTAATCTTTACTCCATAATAAAGATAAAAAATGTATTCATTAGATACTAATCTTAAATATCATTGTTAATTATTGTTAAATGCAGATATTTTTTAAATTATTTAAATTATACTAAACATGCCTAGCTATTGTCCACCTAATAATAATTGCTTTAGTACGATATATCCCTTGATGAACGAACATGTTGTTCTTGATTGTCAATCTTGACAATGACATGAATATAAGCAAGATATAAACTCATAAATATAAATAATCTTTGCAGGATAATTGTACGGTACTTTGGTATATATCTCTGATATAAACATACGCCGTACTTAAGGAGAAATAAATTTATTGAGTATTATTTACAATATTTAAGACAATGGTAAAAATACATCATTTTTATGTAACTTTTTTCTTTATAATTTTTTAATAAACCATGAGGGACGAGAAAGGACAATGACTTTCACCTCCTTAGAGATTCAAGAGATCATTTTAACATATGCTAAATAAGATTATTATACTGCATACATCTCGTTTCTTTTCAGAGAGGAAAGATGATGACATCCCCTTATAAATTTTTACATTGTGAGAGTTGTAATCAACAGCCCTATGTCGGCAAAGTACCAATAAAGAAGGAAAATCTATGTGTTGACTTCATCTATCAATTTGTGAAACATAGCAATAGCATAAATCGTACATGTAAAAAGATAATTGGGACACCCAGGGTTTTTCCAGATTATGGACAGTTTACAGACAAAACATTTACCATTGTATGTATATATAAATATGTGATGTTAATAGTTTCATAGAAAATTGTGAAATATATAGGAATCTAACGTTATATTAATAGTACTTTGTAATATTTGCTACTTTTTTTACTCTTTTGTATAGCAATATTTGCTTCATCCAGCATATGTCCCTTATTTGACCAACATACAGCATGAGGACTCATTGTCTTTTAGCACCCTGTGTAACGATACGTAACATTTGTTTCGATAAGTAAGATTGTTAAGGAATTAAGAACGTTTGTGTTCAGATAAAACTGTAATAAAATTTTCTGTTTTGCAGAGCTTGAATTCCACGAAACTGTATATCCAATCAGAGTTTCTATATATGAAGTGTATAATCCTGGATACGTAACTGAAATTTGGGCTGAAAATTCTCAACTTCACAATCAATGGTTTCTTTTATGGACTGGAGAGGCTCAGAAGGCTCCTCCGACATCACGGATATTTTTCCCGCCTTTACAATTTTGTGGCTTCAAAACCAAGAGACTCAGACTACAATTTACGGATATGCCTCAATTGTCACAGTTCCAACACCTCATAGATGCTGTGATGCTTATCGGTTCTTCAGAATTAATCGTTCCTAAAAATCCTAAACAGAGTTTAACTGATCTGTTAATAAGTATTAACAAGTATTATGAGTGTTTGGATGACCATAATTTAACACCGAATTATGAAAGAGCCCATTTGGATATATTCCACCTTGAAAAGGAATTGTGTTTGAAAGTTGTACTATAACTAGTGAAAGGTATTATAATCGTAATAAAGTAATATTTGCCAGTATTTTATTCTTTTAAATTATATTAAAATAAATTTGTTCTAATGTTTTTCACAGTGATATTATTAAACACTCTTCAATCCATGGAACAACCAGGTGGCGATTTTCGTGTGCTTCCTGTAAAGTATTCGAAGACGTTTATTGCTCGTTACAATATTTGTTATATTTATTAAAGTGATATCATGAATTAAAATTTTATTTATTATCTTTGCAGACTGAAATGATATTGGAAGTATTGAAATATTTGGATACGACGGCGTTGTGCCGCATGAACAGAGTAAATAAATATTTCGGTGAATTAATTGGTACGATTTTATATTTGTATTTGCCATATTATATTTCACTGTACATTCAGACGTTTGCAGCACTTTGATCTAAGTTTGAAAACCGTGACTGTTTCGCATTTCGTAAAGCTTATTAAGGTGATGCTGGAGTCTCTCTGTTTTACCGACATTTTTTAATTAGGGATATCTTTTAATTGGCTTTACAGAATTGCAAATTTCTTGTACACGATTAAAGTTCGCACAAAAATAAAAGTCCGTCTGCTCGACTTTATATAAAAAACGAAAAAAAATTAAATATTTTGGCATGTAGAGCTGTCACATGACGATAATATTTGCTTATACAAAAATTCTATAGTTTATATCTGCAAAATGAGGCCGGAGAGACCTAGAGACAACATGCAAGAACAATATTGTGTACTTGGAACTAAGATTAAAAGTCTAGAAAAAAAAGATAGGGTTAGAGAAAAATTTATAAATGCAAATACAGCTGTAGAATGATAAATAGAGGACTGCATGATAATAAGATGGCGCTGCAATCTGGTAGACAAGGAAAGATGTATCGTATTATTGCTCTCTCTTTCTTTTTTATGTAATATACATATACGCACACATACATAACTTTCGCGTTGTCGGTAAAACAGACAGACTCCAGCATCCCCTTAACGCGTTACTCCAACGTTTGCGCGCGCTATCAAATTAAACTGGGAAAAGAATTCCCGTAACGGAGCCGACCCGTCATACGTGTCGGTCTTTAATTTATATCCGAGCTCCGAATGCGCAAAGCTCTCCCCCTCGCCCCGCGCGACGGTATCCCCACAAGCTCTATTTAAGGAGGGACTTAGCTGGACATTCCGGAAGCGCAGGAGCTCCTTGTCGCGCTGTCGAAGCAACTAGCTCTGAGATCTCAACGGCCTGCCGAGCCTGGTCCTCGCGTCATCGGCGCACCTTCTCCAGTACCTCCTGGAAAGTTGCGGCACCCGCATCCGGCTCTGGAAGCTCCACAATCCGCCTCTTTGGTCGTCCGGCCATTCCTCCGCTTGATCCCGGACGAGCCCCCAAAAATTGTCACTTCCTCGCGTCGCGTGCGCGTTCTATACGTGTCACTCACACTTATACACACTTACGCACCTGCTCTTACGAAATGACTCGGACTCGGGTCAACGAGAAAGGAGATTTATTGATAAAATACAGCAGAGCGGAGGAGAATCCGTCTTTTCTAAAACTTCTCCGGAAATCACGTTAATATCTCCCGCACTGAGAGAAAAATATAGTTATTTTTGGCCTCAACCATAACAATGTACATTGTTAGGTCAACCATATAACTTACGTTGGAGGAATCATAAAAATATGGTTGAGGCCAAAAATAACTATATTTTTCTCTCAGTGCGTTGCTAAGGAGCGCTCGTCAATCTCCTATCGATTATGTACTCGATCCAGCTGACTCGCCAGGGTCGCAATAACGCGGGCGCAACAGTATATATTTTCTTTTTCGCCCCAACCGTCTTTCTTGGCTGTTAGGGGGCTGAACTTTTAGTGGATATTAATATCGCATTGCCTTATCTCCAAAAAAAACAAATGAAAATTATTTATAACATTTAACAGTAATAGGAATGGAGAATCGTAAATGATGCAAGCAAGCATCGAAACGTTCTAATCGTTATCGAATTTAAATAAAGATATATGAATTTACTGACGACAATGTTTTACCTAATAGAAACTATGTTATAAAGTGTGAAAGTGTGAAACGGCACGCAGGACAGGTTGGAAAAACAGTATTTAAATTCATACCCTTGACTTTATAACACGGTTTCTATTGGTGAAACATTATCGTCAGCTCCTATAAGTGTGCTGGTCTGCAGACCCAATAAGAATTTCTGACTTCGGCTGCGTAATTTAAATACGCGAAAGTTGAAATTGTGCAGGTCCTCTAGTATCGTGTTCAGAAGCTCCGCCGATCGCCGCGGGCCCAGCGGCAGGCTCGGGCGCGCGTCGAAAATTCTTATGAAATCTACAGACCACCACACTTATAGGAGCTAAATTTTTAAATTTATCGCCAACAGAAACGTATGCGTAAATTTGGCTCTTACAGACAAGTTGCAATGATTTCTAATCAATTGACTTGCAACTTCTGCGCTAAGATCACAAATTGTTACTTTACTGCCTGAACTTACAAGCTCTCAAGCCAAGAAAACACTAGAAAATGCACTACTCATTTCAAATCGTTATAACTCAATAAAAAAATCGTAGCTTAATGATCGACAGCTCATTTTAAAGATAAAATTTTACGATAAAATTTAGCAAAGATACCTAAGTTTGAATTTGTCTCTTTTTGCACTCATTTTAAGTAATCGTTTAATTTTGTTGAGTAGTGTATTTTGCCTATTTCTTACAAGGGACCGTTTCAAAGTGTCGTCCCCCGATTTGGATGAGCTTTGAATATGTTGTTTTCCAGCTAAAACTAAGAGACACGTATTTTTTTATACGTGCCCTAACGCGCTTTTAGGGGGTGAAACACCCCTGTGAAAAAAATCGGTTTTTCTCTTTCGATGCGAATATCTCCTAAACTATAAGAGATAGAAAGTTCTCTTTTTTTTATAAATTAAATGGTTTCAAAAGTACTACAAAACGACGAAAGAAAAATTCTAATTTTTTTAAATTTTGCAACATGCGTGTCTTGGACTGGGACGTTGGTGAACAGGGAAACCACGTCGAAGCTTACCAGGATGTCGTTGGGCTTGGTTTTTATCTTGGTTATTCTGTTCACTCTGGACATCATCAGAACATCCAAAGAGATTCCATCCACCCTGTTCCCATTAATAGAACACTGCCTCAACTCCACCTATTTCCGG